CTCATTTTCTGAAGTTCATTATTTTAAAGAATTTTTCTCCTTGTACAAAAGAAATCTTTTGTAAAAATTATCGACTCTCTCAGGAGACTAGGCCCCATGTGATTTAAATCTATAATATATTAAATATCGTATCAAGTGAGAATCATTTTTTGGACGATTTTAACCCTAATATAATTTAATTATTTCAATAGTACCTTACTTTTCGTTTTTCAATATATATTTAATTGAATATTAATTATTAAACATGCACGCAAATAAATAATTGAATCGTACGAGAACAATCAAATTGATTCATGAATATGAAATTAATTAATTTGAATCAATAAATATAGAAAAAGAATAATGTATACACATTTAAACAAAGGGGGTGTAAGTGAACCAACATTCAATTTAATTAATTTGAATTAATAGATATAGAAAAATAATAATTTATATAAATTTAAACAAATGGGGTATACATGAACCAACATTGAATTTAATTAATATGAATGAATGAACATTGAAAAAGAATAAGTTATACACATTTAGACAAATGTCGTTATATCATAGATTAAATGAATAATATTGAAATTAAATAAGTGTACATGAACTTGAATAATTTATATACTCCTAGAATAANGAATAATTGAACAACCCCCAAAATATATAAAGTGTACATGCATGAACTTGAAGAATTAATTGATTGAATTATAGTAGGATATATATAAATTAATGTTAATTATTATCATACACGTAAATAAATAATTGAATTGTAGAAAAAGTTCATTTCACATAAACAGTTTTTTTAAACTATTTTTTATATCCACTAATTTTCAAATATCACTTTTACAGTATTTATAGACCATTTTAAAGTAACGTGCAACGTACGTTTAGCTGTGACTAATATTACAAAAAATAGGGTCCCACCTTAATGTGTGCAATCTGTATGTTTTACAAAAAAAAATTTCATGTACATGTAGAGTGCTCTATTTTTAATCATATATTCTATCAGTTAACTAATTCTACATGTGAACTTTTTAATTACATATTTTCTGCGAAAAATATTTTTTACAAAATTTATTCTAAAAAAATCTCTACCAAACATAAACTTATTATTAAAAAAAGACTATGCA